AATGGGGGTCTTAGTACTGTAACTATACAATCGGCATCGTCGATTTAGTCACACTAGATTAACCAGAGACTAGATTGACCACTATAAAGACTCACAAAAAGAGTTGGAACGCGAAGGTACTCTATAGTAACTTCGAGTTAAGGTAGGTGATCCTCTGGCCGGACGAAAAGGTGGAACAAAGCAAGCAGCAAGTCGACGTATCTGTAGCCAAACATGTGAAGGAAAAAAACCATTCTTTGGCTGGACGGCGACGGACCAACCACTAGAAATACCATCAGATAACTTGAGCTCAACAACATTGACAGGGTGGTCGATAAATAATTTTGTCCAGGGAGTGGGGGTAGGAATTATCCACACCAAAAATTCGATGATACAGAAACTGAGTTAAACGAGAGAAACCTGTGGTCTGAAGGTGGAGCAGGAAGTAGTTGAGCCCACCATTGGAAGAAATTCAAGACCAAATTTGATACACCAGATGAGTATTCGGAGAACATCTTGATACGGACAGCGATTTCATCTGGTCAGACAGGACCAAGTCGATCTGCATAAAAGCAGATATGAGCTTCAACACCAGACTAGAGGCAGATTTCAAAATAGAATATCAAAATGCGGATTTCCTGTTCAGACAGAGACCTGGATTGGGAGGCCTGGCGGCGTTCCCACCGTCAGTTTCACAGGTTCCAGGCAAATACTTATGTTTTTTGGTGCCGAGGGTCAGTGAAAGGAATGTGGTGGATCCTGAAGATGTGATACTGGCCTTGACGCTACTAAGGGACTTTCTGGTAGAAAGGGGAGTAAAAAAGTCTTTATACCAGTTTACGATCCGAGTAGAGGCAGATTGCATCCCCGAGAGTTGTATGATATCCTGCCCGTGGTCTTCGCAGAAACGCAGATAGCAGTAAATCTAAACAAGAAACCTTACCTGAGCATTGCTTGAGTCTCGGGTGGATACACTTTTCTTGAGTTGAACTCTTGAGTCTTGAACATGGAAGGGAATTAGGACTTAAGTATGTCAGGTGAAATCTTAGGGAACAAAAAAAGATATTTCACCTACAAATTATTGTTATCTAATACACTACATCTATTTACATATCAATTTTTTTTCTATCATTTGGCATTTTTTTGACTGGAATGAACAGAAGAAAATTCAGAAAAATAGCTTATAAAGCTGAGATCCAGGGTGCAGTTGGATGAAGATTTTGATTGCTGTTTAGCTATAGACTGACAACTGAACATGGCTGTGAATTTTGGGGATGTAGATATGGTTGAATCTGCTGAAACTTCTGTTAATGACCACTGGTACTGTACCTTGAGACACCTTCATTATTCTGGAGACTCACTGACATGACGACGACGCGCGATGAGGACATCGATCTTGAGTCGGGGAGTATGTGCCAGTCAGCATATCTGGAAGTTTGACCTTGATTTTTGAAAATTTCGAATCTACCATGTCATTCTCAAGTTTCTCGCTACAACTGAAAATCAGAACTTTTTTTAATCAGAATATCCGAATCAGATTTGCGGTAAAGTAGATAAAAATCATACCAGAGTAAAATTGTTATTCGCAATTTTACCGAAATCATCAATTCGAGAAGAGTTGTCTTGTTCCTGACACAGAGCATCGCGATTTCCTCCAAGAGTTTAATCGCTGGGCAAGAGAAAAGCTTGATTGGGCAGGCAGACGAGTCAAGCTGGTCAATGGTTCAGAAAACTAAACTTCTTGAGTCAAAACTATTTATTACAGAAAATCTTCTAGAGTTGTTTAACTTATTTTAATTACTTATATCTAGAATCGCGTCACTATGTGGGTACTGAATTTAATTTCTTGAGTCTATTATAAACGATTATGTTGAGATAAGGCAGATTTTAGGTTGATCCATCTGAAAGGTTCACTGTTAAAAAACTAATGGTAAAAGTAAGCTTCGAACCTTGTTTTTAATGGCATTTGAGTGTTTTAGGTATTTAGAGACCTAGCCAAGGGGATGTTCTTATTTCTAGAATGGGGGGTATTTTGTTAGTGGCCTTTAAGCTGTAACACGATTTTGTAGTCCCACGTCTCATGCGAACCGATTTGGCTCCGACTGAATAAGGTATAAAACGCTATAAATGTGTAAACGCTATAACTGTGTCAAACCACAAATTGATTTCAATAACAACAAGGAAAGCTCCCATAGCTAGACGCACTTTCGATGCCAGCAATTGCGATGGATTTCCTCACTATTGTAACATTAGAATAGGATATGCGTCTTGCCGTTTTGGTGCACTGTCAAAACTTTTTTCCTTCGAAAATTCTACTTAGTGATTGTAAATTTACCCCATTTTGCGATTTTTCAAGATTTTGATTTTCAACCATACGTTTTGATTACCATGCAACGTCTCATTGAATTTCTTTCATGTTGACATACTCTGTTAAATCCATTGAACTGTTCTCTCAACCACGTTCCTCTTGTGTCTGTTCGTATTGTGTCACAGGGTTTTTGATACCAACCACATGTGACCTGTTTTCGTGAGTCCACGTTTGCTTTCAAAACCAAGGAGGTCAAGTTCCCCTGATTTTCTAATTTCTCATCAGTGAACGGTAAAATAGGGTCAAGCCACAAACTGATTTAATTAACAACAAGGAAAGTTCCCATAGCTAGGCTCAATTTTTTGTATATACCACAGATTTTTTGCTTCTAAAGTGAATTTGCTTACGACCAATTTTAACAAAATTTTTTCCTTGTCTTGGGTGTCACTTATAGAGGCCTGGTTTTTTTGGTCCACTTTTTTACTAATATATCAAAAGGGTTGCCTTAGTGGAAATTTTGTGTACAAACTTTTCACATCGAGAGAAACTATACTCTCATCGGTGTCCAATACAAAATTTTCCGGGACAGCCCTAGCCATCTGTGCGTTTATCTTAATGTTTACCTCAGCAGGCTGCACCCCTGTTCACGTCTACCTAGTGTAGTGAACATCACTGCTCTCATCCTTCTCGTTCATTGCAAGCATTTGTTTTTTGAGGTCTTTTTCAATTTCCATGACAACATTATCAATGAGAGTATTTTACTGACTAAATTTTTGTGACTGCAATAGCTCGTATAGTTTTGCCTTGTATGTGATTTTTTATTACACAAAAAGCTACACCCCTGTTAAACGGCACAAACAGAAAACCATTGTGCTTCAAATATTTTCTTTTTTTTTGTATTTATCTGAAGGTGTCTCTTTCACTCTTTAAGCATAAGCTTTGGCCGCCTCTTCAATCCCACTCAATTTTTCACCGGTACGTTATGCGAATAAGTAAAAAAATTATAAATTAAATTACATAAAGATATCAAAATATTTCAAACAAAAGGAAAGCTTCTAAAAGTGCCTTGAGGCTCACTTACTAGCTCACGAAAGGTGATTTTAAAATAATCCGACGAACTAAGCAAATAACGTCGAATCATGGGTCAAACGGGGTCGAATCATGGCTCGAATGGGATCGAATCATAGGTCAAACAGGGTCAAATCATAGGTCAAACATGTTTTTTTGGCTGAGACGGTCGAAACATTGCCAATTTGGTCGAGGCGGTCGAAACAAAACTGCCTTGCGACGAACACATTTTCCTTCCGTCGAGTAGGTAGAATCATAGCTGGCTTGCGCCGAACACTATTAAACACATTTTCCTCTGCTCTAGTCGGCCGAAACATAGCCAACTTCGGTCGAGTCGCTCGAAAGATAGTTGATTTCCTACGAACAGTCGAATACATTTTTCCTTTGCTCGAGTCGGTCGAAACATAGCCAATTTTGGTCGAGTTGGTCGAAACATAGCCATTTGTAGTCGATTCGGTCAAAACCGCCGTTTTTGCTCTAGTTAAGTCAAACACTTCAACCCAAGCTACACTTATCTACGATCTTTACGTTAGTGGCTCTTTCTATTATATTTTTCTGCTGCCCAGGCTGAGATTTTCGACAACTGATTTGACAAAAACGGTCAATTGGTGTTCGAGTTTCGTCGTAAGTTAGGACGGTTTGATTAATTCCCGATAAAATCGAAAAATGTCCGATAAAGTCGGACAAGGTCGAACAAAGTCGAACAATGTCTGGTAAAGTCGAACAAGGTCAAACAAAGTCGTGATAAGTCGAACAATGTCCGGTAAAGACGAAAACGGACATTATGCGACTCAAAAATTCGGAAACAGACATCGTTCGACCGTTTCCGTCGAATCATGAGTCGAGTACCTCGGCCCGCGACCTTTAAATAAACAAAAAGTGTTAGTAAAGAAGTGGATCACCGTATCTTTCAAAGTACAGCCGGATAGGATTTGATAAGATCATTCAAACCACTCTTAAATTGTGGATATTCAACATTCAGAGAATATCGGATCGGTTTGATATATACGGACAGTCTTTTTTTACACATTACATAGCGTGTGGAGGATTATTTTCAAAGAAACTCGAAATACCTTTCAAATTTTTTCACTTTGTTCAAACACTACTCCATAGACCTTAAAAAGCAGTCTGAACACCCAGGGCATTGCCCTGATAAAGTAGTCTTGTTAGATTTAGATTTGCATTCATTTTACACAGGCTCATACAGTTTTTGTTACATGTTTGAGGCCTACTGACAGGCACTCCATAACAGCTCGAAGACCAATCTGAACTACTGTTTTAGTGCAATAGATGCTGTAAATTGCGGCGACCATTTTTTAAGTTTTTTTTCTAAAATTTACAAAGTCTGTTAACTGTCTAACGAGTGTTATCTTGTTGGCTCACTTCATTACTTTACGGGAAATCTGACTGCAAAAGTAATTTATCTTCTTGGTAAGATGCGATCTACTGACAACCCATGAAGCTAATTGACTTCAAATTTTGTTTTATTTGTGATTTGTTTCTTCTAAACTGCCACCCGGTTCGAGGTGGTCCATTTATGTTTCGACTTTCTCGTCCAAAATTTGTTATGCTTCTGCTTTGAGCTCGACTTAAAATTGCTTCTGGACCACGAAATTAAAGAAATTGCTTGAATTTCATCCTCTGATTTGGAAGTTTTGCTGGTTTCAATTTCAAGCGTACGCTTATAAACTAGCGAATCTTACCAATCAATCTTCTTTTTGAGCAAAGACCTTTTTGCATGTATAGTAGTGAATGGGGAAAGATGATAAAAGTGAAACGGATGGAAACTACAGACTACTTCATGTCTTTAGAAGTTCAATTGCTGTCTTGACTGACAGTTTTGATGAACTCTCGAATCTTTATTTTCCCCACTGCCGAACGTCTGTCATTACCCACTGCCAGTGACTCACTGCCCCCCTCTTTCTCCTTCTCCTTCTTCTCCCCCTCCCCCGGTGGTCCCTTTGCTCCATCACTTGTTGGCTGTGCACCCCCTTCTGTGTCTTCGGTCGGGGGCTGGCCGCTGTTCTTCCTCTTGACCTTAGAACCAAAAATATAAAATGGGAACAAACTCGCTTTTCTTTCCGAATTCAGCCAAGAAGTCAAACAAGACATGGATATGATCACAAAAGAAATTAGGAAGGCGTTGATAAGGTTTTGATCATCGCGGCTGGCCCGAACACTATTATACTATTTTCTTAGTATTTTATTTAAAAATAAGTTATTACTTTAGGGTTGAAACATGTATGCTTTAACTTCAAGAGAGTTTTCCAACTACTGCAAGGGAACTAAAAAAACAATAGTTATGAGGCTATCAAAACAACTTCAGTTGGGGGAATTATCCTAACATTTTGCTAATTTTTTCTTATATCTATCGTCTGCTTTTTGTTAACAGAGGCTGTTCTTTAAATCTACAAAAAATAATCATAATCTTTTATTTAAAAAAATATTCATTTTTCCCCCTAACAGCTTTTGATTTGTTCTTTATATAGTGAAATTTTCGTTTCTTCTTAGCTCTAAAAATTATTTCTTTTTCCAAGTTTTACAAGAGCAGTTGTTTTGATTTTTTGTATTTTCAACAAGGACTTTTTTGATCTACAAATTATTATTATTTTTTATAAATCCTAAGAAAGAACTCTTCATGTAAATTGCAAAATGGTTGTTTCTCAAATTTACAACTGAAAACTATTGCTTACATAGTAAAATGGTCGTTTTACAATTTTCCAAGACAAGTAATCTTTGCTGTTGATGTTCATTTAAAGGAAACTTCAAAAAAACTTGCTCCATAGATCTTTAAAAAACTCTATATTTCACAAATGGCAGCTTCATAGTAATACAACAAATGATAACCTGTTTTTAACTTTAGAAAAAAATGCTTGTATGCCAATAAATCGTGCCATTCAGTAATTCGCGATTCCTTGCGGTTCCCAAGCTATAAAAATGTAACTATCAATCAAGCCCACGAATAATAGAAAAACGTACCACTTCCAAAGTTAAAGTTCTTTCCCCATTCAGTTGTAGAAAAAAAAGTGGCTAGTATCCGCTTCTTTTTTCAACCGCTGAATGTGGGAAGGAACTTTGCCTGTTTTACGTTTTTTTTTACTAGCCACAAGTCAAGCACCGCAATGTATCATCAGAATGGTTTGAATGATATATCATATTACAGCCCTTATTGTCGTGATTTAAGCTTTCACAGTGTCTTCTCAGTGTCGAGAAAATAGAGTTTTTATACTGCTTTTTTAACTTCATCTCGATGGAATAAAACAAGCAGCGAGTAACTGTTATAATACGAAATGTCTTCCAAAAAGCCTTCGTCAAAAACTTACTTTTATTCCAGACAAAAAATAAAGCTTCATGTAGCGCTTGCTAGGCATAAAAAACCTCTTTACAAATTAAGAAAAAAATAAGAAAATTACCGGATAACAGAAAGACAACTGAAATCAATTAGGCCTAATTTATTCAATTTCTAAGCTTTAGTCTATTTTCAGATCTTATCATGCCCCAAAAAATACAATTTGAAGAAGAAACTGCTCGCGGTACTTGTTCCGACCATTGAAAAAGGGGAGGAACTTAGTATTCGGGTGTGTTTTAGGTTTTTGATAGGTTTTTTAGTTTCTTTGATTTCCAGGCAAAATCTCAGGTATCCAAATAATCATTGGACTGGGTTGAGTGATATATCAGATTAAATCACTTTCAGTCGTGATTCGAACCACATTTAAAAAAATTCCAAACTTTCCCGTTGTCGAGAAAAACTGGTCTGAAGCTTTGATTGGTCGTCTTACTTTGAGCAAGTAAATCCAGTGAGCAGGCTTATTTTTGCTCAAATTTAGCTGTTTAAAATAGCTTATTTATGCTGGATTTTAGTTTTAGTCTCGTAAAGTCTTCAAAAAATGTTGTCCAATTTGCCTATTTTACTATGACTGCCGAATATCCCCAACTTTTAGTTTTTCGTTAAGATACTTTTATCACACCACTCAGAAAAAATGACACTAATTTCGAAATTTCCTTTTTGTGTTTGTGCTTTTAAAGTCTATGGTCAGAACATTCTGTTCTACTTCCACAGTAACCGGCTATCCTTTATTGTTTATTTTGATTTCTAGAAAAAGTTTTAACAATTTTTCTCTCCATAAATTTTGATCCTAACTGTTTTTCATCTCTTTGAAAGGACGTTCTTTGAAGGTTTCCAAATGGTTATTCCCATTTAATAAGCCGCTTTAAGGTAATTTTATGAATGATAAATCTACCAAACTCAACCAAAAAATACATCGAAGCTTAGCAAGAGTTCGCATTTTCTAAATTCTGAAAATTAAGGCATTTTTGCAGATCTAGGAGCAGTGTTTTTTCATATATTTTTTTGAATGGTAGCTCAATGTAATTGTAGTGAAAAAAAACGCTCTTTAAAATATTTACTTTTCGATTGTATGCCTAGTTAAGTCAGATAAAAAACCTCGGTCATGGTGGATCTTCCTGGTCTAATATGCTGTTAATGTAATCAACTCTGATGTCTCCCCCAGACAGCAGAATGAAATTAAATTGATTAAAATCCATTCTTTTCCCAAGCATCAAGTTCATTATAAAGCTTTTTGAATTCGATTTTGTTGATTTTATATCACTTATAACGGATTATGATACAAAGAGAAACAATCGCAGACTGATTTTTCGTCCCTTTGTTGTTTCGCGTCTTTTCACAAAGTCCCCGAAATGTCTGAATGATTTTATATAGCATTTGATACTTTTTCATGAGCTACTGAGTTAGTCTGATGGCCTCAAATGAAAACGTCGGTTTCATAGAAAAGATATTAAAAATTCAGTTCTACAATATCCAAATGGATCTTCTCAAATGGATTACTGCATGTAATTGTGATATCCTGACTTGTAACCTGGAAAAAAAAATTAGGCATTTTTCATAGTAAAAGAAAATTAGACAGACTCTGCAGCAATTTTATTCAAAATATTAAAAGAATACTCTAACTTTTAAAATTCTATTCACGTGGAGGCGCTTATAAACTTCAAAAAATGGTTAGTGGAGAAAATTTGAGTTTTTTTGGTCAAATGAAAGATAATTGCCCCATTATCAGCCGGCTCACTCGCTTTATTCCCTCCAAATTAGACTGCACACTGAGACATTTTTGAGAAAGTTTTATACTGGTTCGTCGTAAGCACACTTTAGTTTCATCATAAGGATATGCACTTGCCTCATTTATGATTGTTTGTGCTACCGAATTTTGCATTTAGAAATTTAAGGAAAAAGCACTAAAACACTAAAACACACCCCAAGACAAAGTTTTTTCCTTTTTGAGTGGTCGTAACAATGAAATTTTTACGCATAAGATGAACTTTGCTGTTTTTAGTCAGCTTTGTTCTGCCAAGAGTTTTTTCCTGCTTTAAACAACGTTCGGCTTCTTTAGTAGAGATTCGAAAATAGTTCTTCCATTTCTTTTCATTTTAAGCAAAGTTTTTTGATGTTGTTTATAAATTTATTGAGAGATATTTTGTATGCTACATCTTTAAGTTCTCCTCAAAAGCACTAAGACAACAATTTTTTTTTAATTTGAAAAAAAAACGATTTTTTGTTGATATTTTTAAAGAGGCACCTGTTTTTGCTGTGAATTTTGCTTGAACTTTTGACCTTTAACAAATCTTTGCTATGTAAAATTCTTCATTTTATTTCTTCTCCATTTTTAACAAGCATTCGCTGATATAAATTTCTCTGATTCGACTTTTTTTGGAAGTTTTCGTTTGTTTTGGGTATTGTTTTTCGTAGAATGCTAAGAAAAAACGTATATTTAAAAATGTACGAATGGTTTGTTTTTCAAAATTTTATGAATTGTTTTTATTTCTAATTTCTTGTCCTTTTCTAAATTTTGTGATAGATAATATTGCCGTAATCATAGAAAGATAAATTTTTCAAAATAAAATGAACCTTTTCTAGTTTGTGAAACGGTAGTTTTCTGTTCCGACCTCTGGAAATGGGAGAAAATTTGTCTTCAAGTGTGTTTTTACATCTACTCTTTTAAAAAACTTTCCGCACAAAATCAGGTACCACAAATAATCATAATTATATGTTAGTATTATAAGTAATTTCAAACCTCTTTCGATGGTTATTCAAACTTTACAAATAACAATTATGATTTTTTGATTTTAGTCAAAATTCGAGCAAATAAATTGAGCAAGAAGACTTAGAACCTTGATAAGTTTACTACTAAGATTTTTTTTGATAGATATTTTAAGTTTTTTTTTGATATTTTGAAATAAAATATACTGAATTGCCAAATCTCCTAATACTTACTACACTCAGGCAAAGTGGTTTTCGCATCACCTCCGATACAGAAAAGAAGGACTAGGATTACCAGCAAAAGAAAAGACATCAAAATAAGAATATAAAACCTTCAAAAATTTGTTTTTTTTTGTCAAAAAAGTTACAAAAATTGCAAATTGCAAAAAGACCAAAACTTTCTGTAACAATCTCACATACACCATTAGAAATTTTACAAAGAAGTTTCCAATTGCTAAAAAAAACCGAATTTTTCAGCGGAACCTAGAAACTAGCCGACACGAAAGACTAAAACTAAGCAAAATTTTTTGGAACTCAAATTTGAAGAAAAATGCCCAAATTTTAGTCAAATTCGGTGCTGCGGCAACTAAATCGACAAAAAAGCAGACAAACAGAAGTCCTACAACAATTTTTTTGGGCGGAAAAGTTTCCGCTTACAAATAAAACTGGTCTTGACCCGATTCGAACCAATGACTTTTGTGTGTCTAGACAAGTGCGTTAGCTCTTCGCCACGTGCTCAAATCAACATCTGACTATTGATTTCATATGAAGCAAAAATGAAATGGTTCAAGTGATTCTGCTAAACTAGTTGTTAACCCGACAAAAAGTCTCTGTGTGACAATTTCTGTTGACAATTTTTGATCATTATAATTAATAATTCCAATATCAGAGATTATTCAATAGACATAGTCAATTTATATAGTTGCGATCTGCAAGCACATCAAAAAGGCAAATAGGCCTAGTCGAGTCATGTCCTAATTAACACATGCCTTAATTAACAGCAGCGCTTTGCGAACACGACAAAAGGCTGCTTAATAAATTGCAATAAGAAAAAATAGAAATAAGCCTTGAATTAATTTAAAAAAGCGGCAACGCGTCGGATTCGAACCTACGAACTACTGCGACCTAAATATTCTGAGTCTCACACACTAACCACTCAGCCACGGATGCCTCATTATTCACAAACACAGGCCACAAATAGAGCAGAGAACAGATGCTATGCTATTTCCAATGCGACAGTGAAATTTGCATATAATATGAACACTTTCAATGAACACTTTTTTGAGGGTTAGGTTAGAAAAAAACGAAGGTTCGTACTAATATACTAGCGCTCGCAAGCTTGCTGGTGTAAACAGTACAATTTTAAACCCTTTAGGTTCCAAAAAGTTCAACTAACAGGTAATAAATTTATTTTCTTTGATTTTGATATTCTCAAGTTTTCGGGCAAATAAACGGCCTAAATATTTTGAGCGACCAATTTTTCCTTGGATAAAGCATTTTGCCGACAAAAATTATTTCAGATCAGTTAGTTAGTTCAAAATTTTTTTAAAACATATTCATACACTTGTGTATTTTTTTTTTAAGTATGTATACAGGGGCGGATTTAGGGGGGGGGGGGGGGACGGGGAGCGGATTTAGGGGGGGGGGCGGGGACGGGGAGCGCATTTAGGGGGGGCGGACACCTTCCTCCCCCTTTCAGGGATATTCCCACCTTTGGTACTATTCAGGAAATCCAATTTTGGCCGACCGACCTTAAAATTTTTCTAAAGGCGCCTTTGGCGCCAATATATATTAATTTTGAGGGGGGAGCACGCGCCGAAAAAAGGCGATTTTTTGGTCAAAATTTTCCAAAAAGTGCCTAAATACGCTTTTTAGACTATTTTTTCAAAATTTTGCCTCCGGCGCAGAAAGTTTGTCTAAAACAGGCCCTAAGCCGTGCTTAGGGAGAGCTCGAAAAATCAATTCGCTCGACCTAAAAAAAGAAGGTCGGAGAAATTTCCGAAATTTTTTTGAAAATTCGCCCCCCCCTCGAGAAAATCCTAGATCCGCCCCTGTATGTATGTATGTTTTTCCTTATGTATCTTTAAGATTGATAACTGTATCCGCAAAACCTACGAAGTCTGCAAAAAATTCAAGGAATGGTCATGTTTGGGGAGACGTAACCAACCTCGCTGTGTAAGTTGAATTCATGTGTTCTATTTGTTTCAATACACTTCTTTCTCACCTGAAAGTGTTGGAATATCTCCTCCACCTCCTCGAGGGCAATGACCTGTCCGAAATCATCCCCCATGCGTCTGTAGGCCTTCTCAAAGTCAGAGAAACACAGCTCATCAGCGGGTGACTTACCCCCGCGACACTGCGGCTTCAATATCTAAAACAAGAATGAGTCTTCTGCTGTAGATACTGTTTTTTGTAGCCAAGTACACACAATCGCTTCACTTTCATTTATCTTCACAGGTTTTTATCACATTTTTGCGGTTCAAAGAACAGTTCTTGACAAAATCTGAAATATTCTTTCCTCGAGTTCTGCTCTATGCTTCTCGACATTTTTGATTAACTTTGAAAAAGAATAAAACAAAACATGAGAGAGCTGCAAAAAAACTTCAGATCGCTAAGTTTTTATAATTTCAAATAACGGTTCAAAACGTTATTATGACGGTACAGTGCAAATCATTTAACGGTTCATAAAATCAAAAAACAATCTCAGCTACTAGAAATAGCAAAAAATATATTAATAATCATAATAATAATATAATAAATTGTTTGCAAATTAGATTCCATTCATTGTGAAAGTTACTACATTTACAACCAAACGAATTCTCATTGCGAGAACGCCGTGAAACTATGCAGCCCGTTTTCAGGCGCCTCTGATCCTACTATGACTTCTGTTATTTTTTAATATCGATAGTTAATCAAGAAATCAATTAAAAAAAGATTTAAAGATTTAATGAGCAAAAAAAATTGAAGCGAAAAAGGGGAAAACTTCAGCAGTATACCTACCCTTAACATGAAATTCTTTTTAAAATATTATTACTACTCAAAAATGAATTCAACCAAATGATAATTTCCAGGAATAAAATTGTCCGAAAACTCATGGTCGAAGATTTGTAATTGATATTTTGCGCAGCTCCGAATCTTAGTTTCAAAAATTGGGTAGTATTTTAGAACAAAGTTGAAAACTTTTCTAATTCTAATTTTTACCGAAGTTTTTTTTTACACTTTGATTGAACAGGTATCTGCCTAGTTAAAACTCTCTTATTCAAAATTGTATTCAAAATTTTCTCAGTTACAGCTTCCTGGTCAATGGCCAATATGCACTCTTATCTTAAAACCTTACATAGTAACTTTGAAATTTCGTAGATATGTAATTTCTTTATAAAGTTTATTTTCCGTTTTTGTCTCAGTTCTTCGATGCTTTCATGTCTTCTCTTAAAACAAATAATTTTTATAAGGCCATTTAATTTTAAGTTCGATTGTTTCTAATTTCGTCTTGTCTGTTGAAGCATAGGCCGAAACCCCATACCGTAAAATGGTTTTCACATAAGCGTTATATCCTTTCAGGAGTTGATCTTCACCTAACAATTTCCTCAGCCTGTAATACATCCCACAAAACCTCGACAATTTGTTTTCAATTTTTGTAATATGATCAGTAAAGGAAAGCTTAGAGTCAATTTAAACACCTAAGTATCAGAACGATTGTTTTTCTTTAATAATTATTCCAATTCTTTTTTACATCTGATTTTCCGCTGCTCTTCTTAGATATTATCATTATTTTTGTTTTATGTTTACTTAAGGTCAGCTTGCTTTTTCTAGCCAATTTTCTGTTTTGTCCAACGCTTCTTGGTGTTCACCTGTTTCTAGCTGTTGTTTTTATGACAGTGTCGTCTGCATATAAAATCAGATTATTTTCACTGTTTTCATTTAGCTCAATATCATTTATATAAATGATGAAAAAAGCGGGCCTGATATGGATCTCTGTGGTACTCCATAATTCACATTTTTAGTTTGAGAGCGTTTGGTATTATTGGCAACGTATTGTTGTCGGTTTATTAGATAAGATTTCAAAAGGTCCAAAACAGGTCACCGAAAAGCATCTGCGTCATATTTCTCCAGTAAAAAAATGTGGTCAACTGTACCAAAGGTTTTCTTAAGGTCAGTGCATGTGCACTGTGTTTTCGTGGTATTAAAGTTCCAATCTTGACGCTTTTCTTCTATTAGGGTTATCAGCCCATCAATTGTACTCCTTTTGAACTGAACGCAAACTGGCAATTTGGTTTGAATTGATACTTATTGAGATATTGGTTCATTCTGCTATAAATGACCCAGTCTAAAATTGGTAAAAGAGAAACTGGCCTGTAATTTAATGGGTCTAAATCATTGCCTTCTTCGAAAAGGTTTAATTTTGGCAATTATGAAACTGTTTATCCAAACATTTTTGTAAAATTTTGTCAAAACTGGGAGCAAAACTGGACATAATTTTTCCAAGTAATAGTGATTAAGTCCATAAGTATTCAAGCTAAACTTGGTTTCTAGCGATTCGATTTTGCTTGAAGTTTCACATTGCGTTATGTCAGCTAAAAACATTAAGTTCATTTGTTTTCTGACTCTTAATTCTCCGCCAATTTTTGTCCAACACTTGCAAAGAAGTCGTTGAATTCATCAAAATTTTTTAAACCGTTTTTTTTTTCGATGCAGAATTTTTCAATTCATTATAAACCCAAAGCTTCGAAGATTTTCTAATCGATGTTTTTCTGGTGAAAATGATTCAATGTTACTTCTGAGCTTTTCGTTCAACAATAAAAAAACTCATCGCAAATAAATTGGTTATTTTTTGTTTCAACATCAAATAAGTTTTCATATAAAGACTCATTTAGTTCTTTCAGAAAAGATTCCGATTCACATTTGTACCATGGTCAGGTTTTGGTAATGAAAAATTCATTTTTGCATGTTTGTTATGTTGCGTTTGAAATTACTCCATAATAATCAGTTACCGATGTTTTGAAGATGTTATTGTTTTTTTTTACATTGGATAAAAACAGATATATACACGTCTTACTGGCCTTTGTTTCTCTGGTTGCTTGTTTTCCTTTTTGTAGAAAAAGATCGTTTCCATTTAATATACTTATAAGTTCAGAGAGTCGTTTACTTTTTCTTAAAATATTAATGTTTAAGTCACCACAAAGTAAATGATGTGTAGATGGTGCTACTATAATATCATCCGAAACTTTTTGTGGTATAAGGAGTGACCGAGTTTTTGCCACGCTAGGAGGAATATAAACACACGTAAAATCTGTATTTTTTTAGTTTTTTATTTGTAATTTTGACGCTTAATAATTGAATGTTGTTACATCTTGTTCTCTTTATTGTTTCATAATTTCTTCCACATTTGGTATATACGCATACGCCTCCACCCCCACGCTTACGAGATTTTTCAATGAGAGGTTGATACTCTTTTGTTTTGAAAATTTTGAAATTCTGTTTTGGTGGAATACCAGGTTTCGGTTGAACATATAACGCTAGGCAAATAAGTTAGTTGAGTTAGGCTATCTTGAAATTCGTCTATGTTTTTTGGTATCGATCTAATGTTTTGCAAAAGAACCTGCTCAGTGGTATTCATGATATACTGCTTTGTGTGTCTTTGTTGATCTGAGATAGGAAAAACAAAAATGAAGGTTAAAAAATCACAAACTCCCTCAGTTGGCCTTAAAATTTTTACCTTCTACATCCCTATGTTTCATATGCTGTTCTGGTATGCAAGCAAAATCATTAATTTTGCTGTTTTCGAAACATGAAGTTTCTTGATTTGTCTTGTTTTCAATTGCAGTTCTTCACTGTAGAGACCTGACGTTTCCTCATTTATATCCAAGTTAAACAAAAAAAAAACAATAGAAATGAAGCTTAGGTAAACTTTAATTTCAAGATGAAAAATAAAAGTTTTCATTTAGTGTCAACTCTACGTTATCACAGAGCACACAAAAATTCACTCGCATAACAAGTCCATAAGCCCCTTTGTAGGCTTAGAGGTCGCTTTATCACAACCAACCTGGAGCGCTCGCGTTATCACAAGCAGGGCAAATGGAACTGACAGTCTGATTTCAATCAAAAAAAGATTTCGACTAAAAACATTTAACAAACAAAAAAGTTTGGATTAAGTTGTTTTTGACATTATTTGACTTATTTGAACTTTTAAACCAAATTGTAAAAATGGAAAAAAAACACAAAAAGTCACTTCCATAGGTCAAAGGGAAAAAGAGCAAGTATAATTATTATAACCAAGTTTAGTTATTGCAGAGTTGCACGGCGCTTCAGCATCAACTCATTATATCGTTCGTATTATCATAACACAAAGTATGAAATACTCACCAAAAAGTTTCAGTTTGTGTATTGATTAGAGTCTATGAGTCTATTTGTGGCTCAAATATGGTTTTTTGCCCTCCGGTGAGACTCTATCGTTTGCAACTCTGCTGCTTTTGTTAACCTCAACAAATTTTCCTCTTCTGATGGCATTTGGTTCCAATTTATTAAGATCATCTAAGCTATTGACTCGATCCATTTTCACCAGTAACTGCAACTGATACAATGCAATTGTTGATCGCCGTCTCCAATCTTATACAAACAGCAGTTGCTTTGATCTCCGCGTCAGCTTTTGGCAATTTTTCATTTAAAATAAAAAACTTTTGGTTTATTGCGTTGACCTTTTTTCTAAGAATCCTTCTATTTTTCCAGACTTGCGTTTTGTCCTCGAAGTAAATGAATTTGCATTTTACGCTGGGAAGGAAAATACCTGTATTACCAGGCAGGACATGGCAAGCTTTCACACCATCATACTTAATTGTTATACCCAAAAAATACTTAAAATTTTTAGGGCCCCCATTGTTACGTCTCTCACATTGCGCGCATCGTAACGAGGATTCAATGATATAATACTATCTTTTTTTGAATATTTTTTCCTGAGCACGCAATCGTTCCTGCATGTCCCGGTGATTTTTTTTTCCAACTCTTGAATGCGCAATTGTTGAGCACTCGAAATCATTTTAAGACCATCAATTTCTTTTTGTAACTCGCTCACCTTAGTGTCACTTGTTTTACTCATGAAACCTCGAGCAGGAATGGAGCTGTTTGACATTCCCACCAAAACATCTTGGTGATCCACATCCGTGATAAATAATCCGTCAAATAAACACTTTTAAAATCACTATTAATCATATTATATGTAATTTAGATATTAAAAATTAGGAGAATTAATAATTGAAAAAAGTCAATCAGAAGAAATTTTGAAAGATATAGGCTCTGTTTTATTTGAAATCATATCGACCTCAGGGTTCTTAATAATCATTTACTTTTATCAGTGTCAAGTTTTGGGATTGTTTTTAAGCGAAAAATTCGGCCAGAAGGAGAATTCGCATCAGATTTTATTTCATTTCAAGTTTCATTTCATATTTCAATTCAAATTTGTGTTTGTTTTTCGAAGTCAATCGACTGTTTGCTTATTTTGCTGTGTTTCTTGATTTAAGAGCGCCGTTTTCGACGGTGCAAAAAAACAAGAATTTAAAACCCAAAAAACAAGGAAAAAAGTTAGTTTTTCAAAAAATTTATCTTATTTGAGCATTCCTAACATTTTCAAAGTGAATAAATATGTTCTTAAAAAATTACAATTTGACATACTCATCTGACGTAACTTTTGCCGGCAATGTCCTTTATCCACTGTAAAATTTGTCGCTCAAAAAACGTAGACCGTTTATTTGCTCGAAAACTTGAGAATATCAAAATCAAAGAAAATACTTAAGTGTTTCTGCTCGTCGCAAATAAATTGAATAATTTATTTCCTTGTTCATAATTAGTCCTAGTGATAATTTTTTTATCAAGCTTAGCTCAGGTTTTAGTAAGTTTCGTGTAGTATCGATTTCTACGCTCAAATTTCTGTAGGGATTGTGTCATATCAATTTCCATCCTGAAAATTTTTTTTCAAAAGAATTATCAATTCAAAATATTCATAATTCAACTTCAATCAAGAGCTAAATTAGCACCTTGGAGCCCTAATATTGAATTTGATAAAACTAAGTTTTTCCAACTAATGTTTCAATTATTAAGAAGTTTTCTTTATGCTAATGTTTCATTAAATAATTATCTTCATCAACGATAGCAAAAGTGCTGCAGATTTAGTAATTTTTTTCAGCAGGTGATATGGCTTGAAACTCAGTTGTAAAAAATTATCTTCAATTTTATAAAATTTACTCATCTACAAAACTTTTGCAATTTTGTAGATTTTGCAAATTTATAAGTTCCGCAAATTTGACTATCTTTTTCAATTTATTTTAAAGTTTTTACAGTATCCGATAATCACGTTAGAAGAATCTAATCTATTTTATAGTTTTAATGAGTAGTTTATAGTTTTAATGAAATACGTCATTTTTTTGACAGAGGCGGCGCTGAATTTTTTAACGTTTGTTTTCGATAGTGTTCAATCAAATATGCCAGCTATTAAGTCAGTTTTGCCAAAATGGAAAACGACCACTTGACAAGTTTTCTGAGCCTTGAAAGCTTAAGGTAAAAAAAATCGTTTTGAAAACTTTAACCATATAAATTAAATTGAAACATTGTAAGCCGAATAAAATCTTTCAGCAAAAATAAACATTTTGAGCTGAAGCATTAAAAGCACAAAAGGATAAAATCCTGATTTTCTTATAAACAGCGCAATATTTAGAAAACATCAACAATATGAAAGGTAGTCAACAGAGAGTTGGAAAAGAGTCGATGAATGCAAGGAAACCAAGAGAAAAAGTTTTTCTTTTTGAAAACTTCAACTTGTAAATTTCAAAGTAAAAAATATCTCGAATGAAAATTTTTTAGATTTTAAAGAACATTTATTCAATGAATGACACCATTTGGATCAATTAGCTGAATTTGAGAAAACTGGATCAATAGGTAAAAGTTTTTTCCTCTGGAAACAAGAAATGGATCACGTTTTTGTAATTTTCACCCTTTTGCTGTTAGATAGTGAAACTTGCCTTCATTTTAGCGAATCAGATGAACTGAATTTGAAAATGAATAAAAAGCAAAACCTCGAAATATCAATTTTGAGCGTGAATCGATTTTATTTTTTTCTTACAAAATATTTTATAAATCATCGCGATATATATGTGTCTTCACATTTCTCATAGACGCTTGGAAATCAATCGGATGTCATGCAGCTGAAATAACCATGCTTTTAATTTTTTGTTTTATCAGACGTTAAATAGGAATTGAAAAAGCAAAAAAAAAAACAGATATTTTCAATCCATGCTTGTTTCGTTTTTTTTTGTCTGTTGTTGTACTCTGATACTGATAAAGTCAATGAATGCAGCGTTGTGGTATAATTTATGTGAAACAGAAATTATTTTAAAAATTTTATTAGAAACTAATGTGCTGCAATCATTCTGATAACCATTTTTTTGTCGACTTTCCGCACTGGAAGTGTATATAATTTTGGCTTCGGCACCTGTGTACTCAAAACGAAGAAATTGAAAGCTTTTAGTTTTGTTGCAGGATTAGTTTTCGCTACCTTATTGACAAACTAAAGACTTAATGAGCGGAAGCATATCTGATTGACAAGAATCATAGCAGCGGAACCAAAAATGTATCCACATGCATTAAGTTTTACTTGCATGCAACTCTAAAGCTTGAAAAACCGAATTTGATATTCTATCATTGAAGGTTTATTGAAGTGCAAAATGGTTGCAACAGCAGAAAATCAGCTTGCTTTGCTTGCCACTAATAACTAATTTAAAAAATTGCTGGATAAATTCCATTAGCACTTGCTATAACAACTAGTAAAATGGTTATTTACGAGTTCAGTTGTCCTTCTGATTGGCTTAAATTTCCCAGAGTATTACAGAACTAGCAATTTGTCCCCCAGCGAAAAGATTCTCGATTATTTATAGTTTTCGTTAGCTCAGAGATAGACATGGAAGAGAAACAGTTCTTCTTCTTCCTCTTCGTCTTCTTCCATAAACAGTAATTTTCAGGCAGAATAAACTCATTATCAGATCTTTTACAATTTTATGGCCTTGAATTTCATAGCAATATAATGTTTCTCTCCAAGCGGTTTCATTGACCATAAAAAAACAGCAGAAAGTTGATTTTTCAAATTCACCACAATCTCAGAGATGGCAGAAATTAGACATGACGATTTTAAGTATAGTTTCAATCAAAAAGGAAGTTAAGCAAGAAGCGCCGGTCGCTCCGCAAATAGCGCAGAAAGTTTTGACCACATTCATAAAAAAAACTTTTTACCAGTTTTTGTGCACGGTATGCCGAGAAAAAAGACCAAAGTTTAGAACTTAAGTATCTTAACAATAATCAATTACATTTGTCTTCAAAGAATGATTAACAAATAATGAAAAAAAAACTTTTTATTGAGAAGGAACGGATAGATGGAATATCAAAAACGCTTTTTGGCTGAAACATACAATTTTTATCCATCAAATTTAACCCGCTCGCAATTAGTATAAAAAATCAAAAATTTTAAACCGGTGTTTCTCGACACAATAACTTATTTGCATACTTTTATGTCGTGTGAAACTACTGATTGGTTTTTATATGATGTATCACACAACCATTTCTGATGATTTTTCGTGCTACCTGATTTCGCGTAGTAGAAGAAACTGCATGTTAGCTATAAAAATCTTTTAGATTCATTGTGTGTGCCCTTTTTTTCGATTATGCGTGTTTTTTTTTGCCTTGAGATTTTTGGCACCGACTTTTGAATATGACTCAAGCCCAACTGCAAACTAATTTTTCCTGTTGTTTAAAAATGAGCAGGCAAAAAAATTCAATTTGCTCATGCTTGTGAAATTAATGATGACAAAATGAAATGGTTATTTTTTAAATCATTATTCTGGCTACCTTGAAAGCGTCCTCAAGTTCTTTCTCAGTAGTTTGGTCATCCATGAAGTTCCTCGACATATTCTCCAACAGGTCCAGAAAGTCCACCCTCTCTGACCCCGGCTGACCTCTGCTCACTCCAGGAGTCAATCGAGTCGGCCTAGAAGGGCCCTAGAGACAGAATGCACAAAACGTAAGAAAACAAGTGACCGAGGTAGATCAAAAAAAATCCTACATGTTTTGCTCTTCTCCTTTTTCACTTCTAGAATATCACAGAGGCAAAGCGGAGCATTAAATAAATTTTTAGTGTTTATCGAGCGGCCACTAAGCCGACAGTTAAAGGTTTAATGTTAAAGGTCGATGATAAAGCAAGTTCAATTTCTTACAGATAGCAATTATTTAGTAAAAAGAAATTGTGCCGACGAGCATCAGAACAAAAACCCAAAAATCCGCCTTAATTCAGACAAGTTTTCATTCAACTTTTTCAAGTACTTTATTGGAAGAAAACTGCCACATCAATGCTGTTATACGACCTTTTTCTATCAGCACTTGCACGCGATGGACCTATCACGGTTGTTAGATTTAAAAAACATATATAGAGAGAAAAAATCTAGCTCCTGATTACAGAGGTGTTGGAGCTTCGAAAATGGTCTGTTAAATCAACGCTCTATTTAAACGCTGCAAACTTTGCGTTGCTTATTCTGCACCCAAAACTTCAAGTGTGTATTTGAAACTTGAACATAGAAAGCAAGCTAAATATCCCGTTACGCTCACTTACCGACTCCAATATTGTTGCACCCATTAGCAAACTTGCCCTGGAGAGCAATTCTTCAACCAAAAATTAACCCAAAAACGACGTTCAATTTAAATGCAGAAAATGCTAAATAACTTGTTTGCTTTAAGATTCGGATTTTTAATGATGAAACCAAACGCATAAATTGTACTCTTTTGGCTTCACGTTTACCCAGTTGCAAATTTACCTGAGGTAAATCTTTGCAAAAACTTAGGAATATTTTTGACTAAAAAGTGCAAATAACTTTTCTTTGCTTGCGAATTCGTAATCTCTAACCTGCATAAATCCTTGAGCACTGGCCAAAACCAACATTGAGTCTTCAACCAAAAATTAACCCAAAAACGACGTTCAATTTAAATGCAGAAAATGCTAAATAAATTGTTTGCTTTACGATTCGGATTTTTAATGATGAAACCAAACGCATGAATTGTACTCTTTTGGCTTC